GGTGCGCTGCGCAGGCGGAGAGCGGCTGGCCCGCTGTGCAGCGGTGCTCGGCGGGTCAGCCTACCCTCCCCGGCCGCAGGCGCTCTGCCTGCGAGGTGCCCGGTCCTGGCGTGAGTCGTCATTTCAACCAGCAGGTAGGAATCGTACCTCGGGTGAACCTTTTGGTTTCGATATCGCTGCTTGCGCCAAGCGCCAAGTTAAATTCCATGGAGACTTTTGAAAGTAGTTTGGTTATGATGTGTGATGGGTTATGATTTTGAACAAGAGTTTCGGGGATCGGGGGAATTTCGAAAGAAGCAAACCCGTTAAAGAAAGTTTTATTTTTGTGTGTTAGTGTACAACGGCTTTGAGCAAAATATTTAAAATAAATGTCGTTTCTGTGCCATGAATATATTAAGTACACTATTTCACTAAAATGAATAAATTCATATACCCCATAAAACGGGCTTCACTTTTATAGTGAGTTGCCTTATTTGTCTATTGGAGCGGGGCGGCCGGTGTCGAGGGGTTATAGGCAACCTTACGAGCCCCGTAATAAAGGTTATGGAAGGCAGCATTAAAAGGCGAATGGGGGCAGGTCGACGGGCCGGCAGGGGCGTGCGCAGGGATGCAAAAGAAGCAGGTGGGAGGGGAGAGGCGGGGCGCGTGGCGGGGTGGCGTGGCGCTGGCAGCTGGCAGCCGTCAAGTGGAGTTGCTGGCTGCTTTTACTCGCCGTTGTTGTCACGGACAGGCCAGACCTGCTGGGGAGCGCGGGGCGAGGCAGGGCGGGGACTTGCCCGACACCATCAGATCGCTCCCGTGGAAAACTCGTCCGGAGCTTGGGTTTTGCTCCACGCATGCAGTGCTGCGGGGCTGCCGCGGAACCACATGCTCCTCGTGGGAAACGATATGACGCGGGCGTGACAAGGCGTGTCCGACCAACAACAGCCCCGCCCGACACCACCACACCACACCCTCGACCCCACCCGACCCCACCGCCACACCTCAGGCGTGCATCTTGCCCCGCTCGGCGGTGGCGCTGGGGCGCCGGACCCTTCACACGTTATACCCCGCGCACGTTCCGTTCCACCTCACCAACTCTGCAGCGTGGCACGAGAAACGGGAGGTGGCAGCGACGATGACAAGCGCCTGCAGCTGGTCCGCACTGGACCTCTTTAGGGCCAAGTTCAAGCGAGAGTAAATCTCGCGCGGTTTTGTTTTGCCGCCCGAGCAGCGCGAGACTCCCGCGTCAAAAAAACGACTTTGGATCTTCGCTTGCCCCTTTCTACTCGGTCAAGGTCTGTTTGCGCCGACAGGCGCCTATAAGTGGGTGCTCCTCTGACTCTTGCACAATGTTTGTGAGCAGGGTCGTTCCAGTCTGTTCCAGGGATTGGACGTTATTCAGGGTCCAGCTTTGCTTTTGCGGCCCTGCTGCTATTTGGCCCGACCTCCGCTGTCCGTGACACGGGGCCGGGGCGGCGAGGAATCAGCGGGTAGAGGCTGCTGGCCCCGGGGCCGCTCGGGCTGGCTGCTGCCGTGCCAGTGACGCGGCGGTGCGGAGCCGTGCGGAGCGTTGCGGTGAGCCTGGCCGGCCTGCCCCCGAGCCTGCGTCTGGCGGCGCCCCGCCCCGCCCC